CTATTACACTAGTAAACACATGAAAAGATGCTCATCATCACTACTTATTATGGAAATGTAAATTAAGCTAATTAAAAAGCTACAAGCAAAAAGCCCCAACAATATTACCTATGAGCACATATGCAGAGAAAACTGGAACCCTCACACACTGATGATACAATTACCATCAAAATCAGTTGGAAGTTTCTTAAAACATTAAATATAGACTTTCATACCACCTGTCAGTTCCACCCTTAGGAAACTTCCCAAGAGAAAATGAAAATATGCCCATGCAAAGACTTACATATAAATATTCATGACAGCATTATTTATAACAATTCAAAATTAAAACAGTTCAGTGTCTATCAACCTGTGAAAGGATAAACAAAAAGTCAGAAATTCATACAACGGACTACTATTAGACAATAAAAAAGAATGGAGTACAGATACATGCTACTCTATGGATGGACCTCAAAAGCATTGTGCTGAGTGAAAGAAACCAGACACAATTAGATGACATATTGTCTGATTCCTTTTATATAAAATTTCTAGAAAAAGCAAATCTATAGAGATAGTAATCAGTGGTTGCCTAGGACTGGGGTGGGAGTAGGGAATGTCTGCAAACAATGGATAAGACCTTTCTGGAGTGATGGAAGTGGTTTAGAACTGGACTACAGAAATGTTACACAACTCTATAAATGTATTGAAAGTCACTGATCTGTATACTTTGTATAGATAAATGGACTCTATGGTAAGTACATCATACCTCAATAAACCTTTTTTTTTTTAAGGGAATCATAGCCCCATCCATATTGCTTGAGAGCTGCTTAAATGTCAGTGTCACTCAGCACTGCACAGTGACACCATCTTTTTTTTTAAAACCACACTGTTTTTAAAAACTCACATCTCATTATTCTTAATGATATACATTTATTTGATTTCTAGTTAAACTAAACATTTTCATCTATTGGGTCTGTTATTTTCTTATAAGGATATACATCTATTTCATAAGGACATCTTTTCATCTTTTTGAAAGTAGCACACTTTTTTCAGTGGTATGTGGTAGAAATATTTTTTCCCAGTTTTTCATGAGTTTTAAAATTTTGTTAACAGGGTTTTCTTTTTCTTTGCCATATTGACACATTCATTTTCATGTAGTCAAATTTATCTATTTTCATTTACAGAGTCTGTCTCTGGTGTTATAATATGCAATCTTCTTTTGAAACATTAATCAGAAACCTTGAGTATTGTTAGGCAAGCATCCCCTGTCCCAAGCCCAGCGTTACTGGGCTTTTCTATTTTATGAAAAGAGATAAAACATAATTTCAAATCTCAAAGCTGGAGGCAGATGGACTTTTCTGCCTTAAACCTTTACGGGTGAAGAGGGACTAATGTTGACATCTCAAATTCCTGGAAAATTGTCTCATTAGAGAAAACTTCTAATGTGATACACCTGACATTTCCAGTAGTCCCAGTGATGAGGAATTGGAAAAATAAAAAGAAGGATGTGAAAATGTGCCCACTGTTGCTAGTCATGCCAGGACGATGGCTCGAGGGCTCGTTGGATGAGGCCTCTTTGTAGACCATCAGGTCATTCCATAACAACGTGATCACTGCATTCAACGTGATCAGGCATTCGTGGATGTCTGACCAGAACAGTCTAGAACTCAGTCACTCACTGTCCCACCACCACCTGAGTCCAGGAAGATTATCATTTTCCCTGCTGCTCCATTCACTATTAGAGGGTGGTCACTCATTACCCATTAGGTAATGAATACAGGAAACACAACTTTATTTAAATCTCACTGACTCAGGAAGAGATGTAACACTAACTGAAGAACTCGTCACTACTGAGTGATATATTCATCGAAAAATACTACTGCAGTTCCAAAAACCACGTGTTTTCATGCAGCTACGACTACCATACAGAGATACAGAGAAAACTCATAAAGGTAAGACAGGCTCAAGGATGTATTGTACAACACTGGGATTACAGTTAATATTTCGCAGTAACTGTAAATGGAATGTAACCTTTATAACTGGATAAAAAATTTTAAAAATAATAAAAAATTGAAAAAAAAAGAAATGCCGTAAAAACGTTTTATATTAATGTGGACACTATGGCCTTCAAGGCATATAACCTGAGGCCCGGTCACATTAGATACAATCAGAAGAGGCATTCAAATACCTGAAAACAGAAAATGACTGATTTTTTTCTCTGTATATTTGAGTCTCCCCCACACACATACATTTCCAAGACTGGCCCCAATTCAACCTCTTTCCTTATCTATCCTACAGTTTTTGGAATCTATACTATATATTCTGGGACCTATATACAGGTTTAATATTATTCAATTGTTTTGTGCCCATTACTCATCAAATTAAACATAAGCTCCATGAGGGCAAACTTTGTATTCCTATGGCATTCAAGCAGTGCTAGGATTCCAGATGCTTCTACTGACTTTGTTAGTGCCATTTCTTCCTCTGCGGCCTCAACAGCGCTCATTAAATAACATTTCTTGATTTCTGGAAAAAGTTGGGCCAAGAAGGTAAACAAACAAAAAAAGTATTGTGAGGGCACTTTGAAAACTTACAATGTAAAACAGGCAGTGCTTTAGCTAAAAAAAATATCACGGAGTAGTATGTAAATGCTTTGGCAGATACCCCAGCTTTACAGATCTCGAAGAGCAAAGCACAGATTGTCTCCAGTTCTCTTCTTTGCACCTAGGCAGGCTTCATCTAATGACTATAGTTTCCTATGTAAGTTTCAGGGAACCCCAGGGTTCCATTGAGGCAGTTCCAGGGTTCTAAGAGGCAGCATCAAGGTTTGCCTGGTGAAGGGGATGGCCATGGGAGCCACGTTTAATTTGTGGTTGCTCCTATCCAAGTAACAGCCCAGGTCTTTGAGCTGTATGTATAAATGAAAAGCATTTCTATTAATCAAGGAGAGGTGTCCTGTCTCCAAAGAAGACTGACACATAGGTGCCTGCACACAGGTCCGCCCTCAGTCCCAGGATGCCTGGCTAGCTGCTTCTCTGCTTTCTAGGGAAATAAAACAATAATCAAAACCCAGTTTCTCTACTGTTCTTCTGTTCTTCCCTTCTGTTCCCTTAAGAGAGGAGGGCACTGAGAATCAGTAAGAGTAATGGTTTCACCAATTCTGACTCCTGGACAACAGGATTCCAGCACATCAGGATCTCTTGTAATAAAGAATTTATACAATCTATTTGTCTACCTTTGTTAATAATTCCCAGAATGGAGATGATATCAACTCACTCTGGAACCCAGTTCTTGGTGATTCTACTAGAATTCCCAACCTCATCATTAAACCAAAGATTAAATGCCGAAAATGGTGGCATCATTCTAATATCCTCATTGTAGTACTGGAAAAACCATACTTTCATAATAATTAAATTTAACTAATGAATCTGAAGTATTAGTACTCTTAATATGCCATCCATCTTCTCAGGCTGGGCGTTTCTTCGCATTTCAAATTCCTCTTCACCACCCATGAATGAGTAAACAAAAGAGAATGAGTAAACAATGTCTGAAAGTAAGGCCCTTACCTACAGCATCTAATTAAACCTATGGTTACTAGTTATTGGTAGCTGAGACCCTTAGGTAATTCCTGTCTTAAAGCCCCAGTTCAATGGCAGTACCACCTCTCAAGGGGTTCTGAGGATTAAATGCGACGTTAAACCAAACTCCGCCCACAGTATGAGGCATATAGTATGTGCACAATAAACTCTTAGATTTAAAAAAAAAACTTTTAATTATATTTTTTTCAAGTGGAGGAGACAAGTTTCCACTAACTTCAAAGTAAAGACAGATAAAAAGGCAAAAGCCTCTGTATTTTTAAAGCTGCAAGATTTTGAAAATAATGAGATCACTTACAACCACAAATCATTCCACCATCTTTAACTGATAGAGCAACATACTATTTGCCCTTTTGCTTCCAATCTAATACCCTCACTGCTTAACACGGTTGGACACGCGAGGCCAGGCGGTGGGAGGGTGCAAAGTATTTTCTTAGCAACAGCCGCCACACTGCAGTTTCTCCTCGGGGTGGAGGAAAAAGCCTTCCCTTCCCTCCCTGGGACAATGACAAGTCGCAGCCGGACTCCGGGGGAAACGTGCGCACCCGGAGCGAGTCAGTTGGGTGTCCGGGCCTGCGCGGAAGGGGACACATAATGGTCCTCCAGGAGGGACCCCCGGCCCCACCTCCGCACCCAGGGGCGCGAGAGCACGCGGAACCCGCCTTCCCGGACCGAGTGTGGGTTCGGGTCGCCGAATCGGACCCGGTGACCCCTGCCCTTTGCAACCACAGTTGCGCGCGCCCCCGGCGGCGTCCCGTTCCTGCGCAGGGCCAACTCCGCGAGTCCCCGCCGCCAACTGCACGCAGGTCCAGCCGCCCGGCCCTGCCCGACACTGGAGTGGGTACATAGGGGTGTGCAGCGGGGGCGGCAGCGGGGTGAGCGCTCCGTTAAAACATGGCTTTCCCTCTCCCGTGGCCTGAGCGCCTTCGCGGCGCACCGGCGTGGGCACGGCCCACAAGGGAATAACCCCGACATCTGCCCGACTTACTGGATTCATTTCCGATCTCTCTGTGCGTGTTACTTGTTACCCCTCCCCTCCCCCGCGTCTCGCAGCTTTTTCCTGCACACCGACCTCAATCTGGCAGTTTTGGAAAAAGAAAACTCCCCTTCTGGAAGCGGGGGGCGGGGGGTGGTGGTGGTGAAAAGCGCTTTTGCTTCTTGTTCGAGGTAGAAACCATTCCGGCTAGAATGAGTTCGAAAAGAAGGGAAGTCGCGTCGCCGGAAAGAAAGTAACATCCCGAGATCGATGAGGACAGAGGGAGGGAGCAAGATCTGCAACAGGCACCTGAAAACAAGCGTGAAGGAGCAAAGGGAATCGCCGCCGCCGAGTTACTACCGAGTGCATTCCGCGCCATCCACTGCAATGGCAAGATTTGCTCTTCTCACAGTCTGAAGGCCTTTGAAATCTTTTTGGATAAGACTCACCTTTCTCTTCGGCATAATGACTGTATTCGTGCAGCTGAAAAGTAAAGCAACGGGCTGGAACTGCTGGCACCGCCGCTGGATGCTGCCGCCGCCGCAGCTGCTCACGCGCAGGTCTCGGCGTAGCCCGGCCTCCGGGACCTCAACCTCGGCGGCTCCCTCCAGGGGCCCTCTACTCGCTGGTCTCCCCGCTCCTCCAATGAGGAGCCCCGGCAGCCGGTCGCGAGGCCCCATTGGCTGCGGCAACGTTCTAAATTCCACGAGGGCACGCCCACCTCCGCGCGCACGGTACGCGCTGTTGTAGTTTCCACTTCACCGAAAAATCTGCCTGGCGACTGAGCATGCCCAGTTCAACTAGTAAACCCCCAAGCCACGGGATCCTGGAGTTTCATTGTTTTGTTGCTCCCTATTTGGATTGTCATCAGTAGGAAGTGTGGGCCTTCCTAAGGAGGAAAAAGAGTAAGGATGGACACATTAACTTTATAAAGTAAATGTATACATAGCAAGCATTTTATATGTTCCCTGTAAAAGCTTGTAATGAGTGCTATGTGGTGCAGAGCTTTGAAAGTGGGAAGGTACTCTGCTCTGAGACAGTCTGGCAATCTCTAAGGGTCTCAGTTTCCCCTTCTAGATTTCTAGTGACAGTAAACCCTAAAACTGCTTAGGAATAGTCTCCTAAAATCTGATTTCATATCGCTTACTAATTCAGTCACCAGCAAACTAGGCTTGAAGGTGACTGGAGTATGTTTATTATGGAAATTAAAAAAGACTGAACAAGATCAAATAAGATTATTTTATTTTTTGGAACGTATTTCTCAAAGTTCTGCAAGGCATTCAATAGGAATTGGGTGCCTGGATTAAATATAAATGTAAAATATGTAAAATAAAACAAAGTATTTTAATAAAAAATATAAAATAGACACTCGATTTATTTTATGAAATCATTCTTACCCTGATGCCATAACCAGTGATAAACCTCTAAAGAGAACTAGAGAGCAATTTCCTTCGTAAACACAGACATGAAATCTTGAATAATATTTTAGTAAATCAAATAACTAAACGAAATGTAAATTTTTAAAATTGTGAATTGCCTTTATTTAGGTTGAATACTTGGAATCTATATAATATTCTACATCAGCTCTACCTCAATAAAAAAAGTTCTTTTTAGTAAGTTAAATCCAGCAACATTTAAGAGGATAAGACTTCATAACCAGTGAAGTTTATCCTGGGAATGCAGAATTGGTTTAACAGCTGAAAGTCAATCAATGTAATTCAACATAGTAATAGAATGAAGGAAAAAAAAAAACAATTTTTCAACAGATACAGGAAAAGCACTAGTGAATGGTTCAACAAACTTTAGTAACTGTATACAGTAGAATACTACTCAGCTTGATGAAGAGGAAGAAAATATTCCTACCTGGATGAATGTCAAAAATAAAATGCTTTGTGAAAGAAGGCAAGTATAAAAGACCATACTGAATAATTCCACTTATATGAAAAATTTTAAAGCAAAATTACACATAGTATTATAATCATGTTGGAAGGCAAAAGTTCACATTATAGGAAAACACTAATGAGACCTTACACTACAAATATGGCCAAATCCACTTTAATTACACAAAGGCTACAAATATGTATTAAATAGCATCATCAAGTAATTAATTTTATTTTTTATTTTTTTAAGTAATTAATTTTAATGCTTGACATTTTTCTTTGTTAATTCTCACAATAATGAATTAGTATTCTAGAAACCTGCGGAAGTGATCAATGACTTTCCTTTTTGTAATATCTTTAGGAACACATGGATTTTTTGGCATGGATATTTTTTGGCATGCTTCAATCTGTTGCCATTATTACTTTTTTTCATACTTATATTGCTCCAATGTGAGAGACTTTTTTCAAATTAGTGCTTGTCTACTTTTGACATGATCCCAATTGTTTTTGATAGACTCCTTATTTTCAGGTGTTCAGTGGATCACAATACACTCAAAAGAGCTGGGATAAAACCAGTTCTTTGCTTCAGCACTGGATGGAACTTGTTTATAATTTTACCATGGTAATTAATTTATAATGAAATTGTTTTGAAAGAGAGTTAACTTGCAAAGTGCTTTTTATTTTTATTTTTTTAATTAAAAAATTTTGTTTTGGCCGAACCACACAGCATGTAGGGTCTCAGTTCCCTGACCAGGGATCAAACTCTGTATTGGAAGCACAGTTTTATCCACTGTACTTTCAGGGAAGTCCTTGCAAAATGCTTTTTAAACCAATGAAAACATTTTAAAATAAGGTATGTGTGGGAAGGATGCTGAGTAGCACTTGAAATCTGGGTTGAATTGTTTTTCTTTATGGAGATAAAATGATGTCATAACAAAGGTGGGACTGGAGCGATTTATTTTTTCCCCTCTGTGGTGAAAAGTGATTCATGAAGTTGGCTGCTTTAGCTGATGTTTGTCAAGACTAACCACTCAACCAACAACAGCAAACACAATTGTGACTGTTTTTACTGCATATAATTAAATAGTGGCACTGGTTTATGGAATTCTTCAAGCCCGAATACTGGAGTGGATAGCCATTCAATGAAAATGAGCATTGCTAATTAGATAAAGAGGGTTGATTGTGGGGACTTTGGGTCCTTTGAGCCCCAGAGTTCATTTACAAGTGATGAGAATAATAGCTTTAGTTGTAAAAATAAACAACAGCATTGGTTCTTTTTACTTTGAAGGCACTTGTACCTGCCTGAGCAGGATGTTAGGGAAGGGAGAGCTCGCCCTGTACCTTCAATAGCCTTCACTGGCAGCCCTGGGGGTGAGGAGGCAGGCAAGGAGGATGATTTTGCAGGTAGCTGCGATTCCAAATTAGAAGGTAAAAACAGCCAAGCAGAAGTGAGCATGCCCTCTGCAAGATAGCGAGAAGGCCAACCCGGTAAGAGGAGACTCCTTGGTTTATCAGTAAATTCCTCTGAGTGTTTCACTTACTTTGACCGATCAACCTCTAAGACTGTAAAGTCTTCTCTGTAGGTTGTGGGTGCTGTTTTAGCCAAGATAGACAAAGGATAAATGAAGAGGGTTACTGCCTGAGGAAGGAAGAAGGAAAAATGAGTGAACAGACCGCTTTTCCAATTCCAGCTCTTCTCCCCTTCTTTCCTTCCCATAATGGTTGGAATCTTACGTGGACCCCCGCACTTTTCAAACACCAAGGTGAAACCATATATGGTACCATGACTGTCATTGAAGAAGGTAGGGGAGGGAGAAAGGAAAAGAAAAAAGGGCAGAGGGTAGAAAATACTAGAATGCACTTCAGATGATAAAGGTAAGTCATGTTTTAGAAAGTGTTTCCATTTTCCATATGTTTCCACGTAAACACATGCCACACATAGATACACATATGTGGAGTGTGTATGTGTGTGTGTGTTCTAGGTTGTGACTCAAAATTTATTTTTAGGAAGGGTCTTGGTGAAAAACCTTGAAGCTACTGCACAGACCTAATAAATATTCATTGGAAGGACTGATTCTGAAGCTGAAGCTCCAACACTTTGGCCACCTGATGTAAAGAGCCAGCTCATTGGAAAGGACCCTGATGCTGGGAAGGATTAAAGGGAGAAGAAGGGGACGACAGAGGATGAGATGGTTGGATGGCACCACCGACGTAATGGACATGAGTTTGAGCAAACTCCAGGAGATGGTGAAGGACAGGGAAGCCTGGCATGCTGCAGTCCTTGGGGTCGCAAAGAGTTGGGCACAGCTGAGTGACTGAACAATAATAGCCCTAATGAGTCTTGTGGATTTGGGGGTTCCAGCAATTTCTTCCTCTGGAGGAAAGATGCTTCATCTTCGAATCTTGAAAAGAAAATTTGAAAGGAAGGGGTCACCTCCTTTTTCTGTCCCTCCTTCCCTCTTTCAGGCAGGCACAGGCAGGTTTTGCTCAAAGTAATGGCAGCTGTGGAGAAATCAGAAGTAGAATCATATTTTGTTGCTCCTGATAGCCCTGTAATTCCTGGATAAGTTACTGTTCTTCAGTGAATAGGCCAAAGAACTCCAGAAGTCAATGAACAAGAGGTGACAAAAAAGTACTCCTTTGTCATCGTTGTTGGAATTGTTATCAGTCAAGTCTCTAATTGGACTGAACGCTTTTTTTTTTGAAGAGACCATAGTTTTTACAAAGTAACTAGAACAGTCCATGGCTTCCCTGGTGTTGCAGTGGTAAGGAACCTGCCTGCCAATGCAGGAGGTGCAAGAGACTCAAGCTTGATCCCTGGGTCGAGAGGATCCCCTGGAGTAGGAAACGGCAACCCGCTCCAATATTCTTGCCTGGAAAATTCCATGGACAGAGAAGCCTGGTGGGCAACAGTTCCTGGGTCACAAAGAGTCGGAGTTCTTTGTGACGTTTGTGGGGTTCCATCACTCTAACCCCAGTTTACTGAATCAGGATCTTTTAATGGCTGGATTTGGGAATATACATTTCAAACAAGCTTCTCGTGTGTTTTTTACACTAGAATTTGAGAATTCTAGTCTGGGCCTGAATGCTGGTACTTAGATTGTATATCTGTGAAAGCCTCTAAAATTAACACACCTCCAAAGTAGGACCTTCATTCTGTGGGTGAAACTTTTCCCCCGCAGACCTCATCTTGAGCTCGGGCTTCATCCCCGCTCAGTTCCAGTGTTGCCAGGCATTACCTACCGTCTTCTCTAGTTGCAAGGAGAGTAAAAACGTGCCACCTTGAGATCTTAGAAAAGCATCTCATCCCAGCTTCCCAGGCAGCTCCTCAGTCTCTGGCAAGGTTAAATTCTGTGGCCCCGCATCCTCAAAGGGCACCCAACCTAAGCAAAACCCCACAAGCCATGCCTCCAAGGCTCTATTATTTCAGCAACTGGACAAACACACCTTGTAACTGCATTATCGAGGAGGTCCAGGGTGTTCTGTGATCTTCCAACAGTAACCCCCCCTTTTGTTTTCCCAGCCTTCAACAAATGTGGTTTACACAGTTTTCCCATCCCCCCCACCCCACCCCCTGGTCCTTTTCAGTTTCAATCTCTGTGTTATTTACCTCTCCTTCTTGTTGTTGCTGCTGCTTAAACTCACAGTGGAATTAATTTGCTCTTTGTAGTTCTCCAAAGACGATTTGGGCAGAAATTAGCCATGCTCTGTAACTCCAACCAGGGATTGGGCTGCATTCCTTCAGCCATCCCTTTCGGCTGCATGGTCCACGTGTCCTCTGCCAGGAGCCAGCCAAGTTC